GTTTAGATGATATCAAACACATTTTAGTTTAGTTATTTTGATTAATGTATTTTTTCCTAAATCATTTCAAAAGGGTGCGTTTAAAACTCGTTTTTATGATGCAAGTCGTTAGCAATGCCGAAATTTTAGTATTTGAACAATATACTTACTTGGTTTATCCACGATCGCCAGAAGCCGCCTCTGTAAAATCGATGCCACAAAGAGGAAAATGGAGCACATGCCAAACATCACAGTGATGGGGAAAGCATCAACCTACAAAGACAAGGAAAATGTGTGTGACAATAGAAAAGATGTGGTGTCCATAATTATATTGATGGCTTTGGTCCAGCAATTGGGTTAGGAACTGCTTGAACTCAAAAAAAGAAGCTCGTAACTGCAATTATGTAATGACTAATGGCATAGGGGTATTCAGTGGGCATACATTGTACAGCACCACGCATACGAAGATGTTGAGAGGTATGCGGAAGAAGTTCATGATGGTGCTTCTAGCCTCCTCAGGAATGTATTGGGATCTCATCTTCATTATGGAAGGCCAAAATATACCAACGCAGGACTCAAAAACACAGAAGCCAAGCAACTGGATACAACCTGCAAAAGAGATGCTTCCACCTTTCACATCTGATGGAGCTACCAAGATCTGTCACAACCAGAAAAGTCAGAGAAAACATGAACTAGCATTAATGAAAACAGAACTAAGAGGAGAAAAACAATCCTTCCACATACACTTGTCACAATCGGAAGTACAAGAGCGGCAGAAGAGACAACGAAAACAATCTGCATATAGCTCTCAACTTTTAGTGAGTTTCGAGCCATCAACCTAGATGCAAGGGAACTTCCGAGCATTGAAGCCAACATGAATGTTGCAAAGATAAATCCATGGGGAATATCCTCATTATTTGGGCTGAGTGCAGGTGTCCAGAGGAATACAAAGGTATACATTGAACCTTCAAATAGAGACTGTATAGCACCCAGCAGTGCAATCTTCTCATCTGACGCATAGAACATTTAAAATGAGTTAGGATATCCGTCAAGAAAGTAAGTCATTGTTCAGATTCTTCTCTTTTCAAGGAGAAAGAAAAAAAAAAAAAGGAAAGGAGAGAATAATGCTTAAAACCATGCGTGAGCATATCCTTATCCAGTCCAAGAGCATGTTTCATGCAAAACCAAAATCCTTGCAAAGATGTTGGGCTTCGAGGAAATGCAATGAACTAAAAAATTACGTGCACGAAAATTTGAAAGAGTACCAGAAGCAATGGCAACAGCAGCACCCCTGAATTGGGTGAGCAGATCCTTATTTTCTGATGGATCTCCATAGTTCTCCGTCCAAGATGACATAATAACGGCCATACCAATTGCAAGAAAGCAGGCAGCAGCATCAAAAGGTGCCACTGGTCCAAGAGAAAGACTATCAACGAGTACATTCCCAAACAACCCAGCAAGAATTGCAACAAGACCATTGCCAAGAAATATAGCCTTTGAGAATGTAATCGACAACCATTGCTGTTCAAAGCCCCTCTGCCGAAAATTAAGAGAATCGAGATTATAGCTACAAAATTACTATCAAGGGATGAACATTGAATCATCACCTAGTGATCGTTCAATAAACATTGAATTGTCTAAACAAATAGGTTAAGAGTAAATTTTATAATTAATAATTCATATTCTTAACATGACCAACCAATTGTCCAGTCAGAAAACATCATATAAGCAAGCAAAAAAAAGCTTTTTAAGACAGTATCATGGAATCCTTGCCTTATTGTGCTCTGCAACAAGCCACGACTCAAATGCTGAAAAGAGGAGCGAAGTGGCAATACCACCCAAAACACGGCCCAACATTAAAACCTTGTACTCGGGCGAATGCTTTGTGATGCAACTCAGAATGTACGTAATACAATAAGTGATGCAAGCTCTCTTTCGACCTCTGAATTCAAAAACATAAATGCATCAACTATTAGAAAGAGGTTTCCCTCAATAAAATTTGATGACGTCAACCAATTTAAGGGGTAGAAAATGACTCACTGTTTGTCAGCAAGAGAACCAACAATTGTACCAAACAACATGGAGGACCCAAAACCGGCAATGAAAAGCTGACCAATCTCTCCTTTATCAAAGCCATACTGACTGTAAAGGAAGTATACGTATGGGCCCTGCAACCAGTCCCCAGCTGTTGCCACATGAACAATAAATAATACATTAGATCAATCATTATACATAATCTTTTACTTTCTATCCACATACTATTAATGCTCATAACATTTAATAGGTACAAACTTGCAAGGTAAAACCAAAAATAAATAAATCAAAATGTAGAAGATAAAAGGAGCAAACCACACCCCGTGGATCATAGGGAAAACAACATCAACTGTGCCAGAAGAATCGAGATTATAGCCACAAAATTACTATCAAAAGAAAATTGAAATAACAATGCCATTATGCACTTAGAAGAAACGAGAATATAGCAATCATTTCATATCATGAACCGTCGGTGGATCCAGATCCAACGCTTAACCAAAGAGAGAGAAGAGGAAAAGAACAATAGGCACCTCCGATACACTTCCTAGCAACCTGTCGGCAACCAATTGCCTCTCTAACTAGTACCAAATAACGCCCTATCTACTCCAAATTCCTCAACGAAAGCCTCTCAATCACGACAAAAACACAGATCGAAACAAAACAGTAACTACACAACATTCAAGAACCGAATAAATTCAGATCATATCGAACGGCATCAGGTCGACACACACACACACACAGATTCACACAAGGCACAAACAGGAAACGAAGCAGTCACAGTTGTAAACATGAATTGAAAAGAACTGAACGAGATCCAAGTGAAGAATGCGAGCAGATCTGGAAAGAAATTAAAAATCAGAATACGCACCCATCATAAGAGAGTAAACAAAAAGGTAATTGTTCTTGAAAGCATTGAAAGCGGAGGGCGTATTGATCCTGTCCTTGTTGGATTTGCTGAGCTCCAGAGCTGCAACCACTACAGACAATGCTCCAAACACCAGAAAGTAGAAAATCTCCATTGTAGCACGAAGACAAAGAGAGAGAAGCTCCGACGGGCGTCCCTCTTTTGCAGTGTGAGATAGAAAATGGTAAGAGAATGAAAACGAAGGCGTTTGTTATATACTGGAACAACAACCAGGTGTTCTGTTCATTTAATTACTTACTCTGAATAATAATTAAACTAAAATATTTTAGTTCTATATATTTTTAAATACTAAACAAATTTAGTGTTTAAATAAATAAATAATAATAATTTTTTAAATTTAGAAAATAATGCTATCTTTTTTTTAGCAATAAATATTAATTTTTTAAATTTAATTAAAACGATATATAATATTTTTATTTAATTCCTGGGAGGCTTCAAGTATTTTCCGAAGCTTTAATTATAAATTTGACTTTTGTTTTAAAATTTAAATAATAAAAGAAATTAAGCTAAGCTAAGCGAGGTGTGTGTGTCCTGCTTGCGTCGTACAGGATTGGAAATCGGGGACGCGTTTTGGGACTGTTGGACACGTGGACCAATATTATCCGTCCGATGGGGTATGAAATTGTCGGAGTTATTACATTCCTTCGCGCGCTGCTCGGGAGATGACCCACTCGCAACTCTCTTTACGTGGTCCACACGCGCCGAAATGCAAATTACAGCTTTTCTATTTTATTTTTTAAATTTTCATTTTGGTATTTTTGAGATTAATTTCTAAAATTTCTATTTTAGTCTATAAATTTTAAAATTACTTATTTTAATATCTTTAACTTTAAATAAATTAAAAAAAAACAGAGTATTTAAGGGTAAATATTCTTAAAAGGGTAAATATATTAAATGATTTATGATATTTAAGGCTTTACCAATTTAGTCCCCTCTTTTAAAATTCTCAAACTTATCTTTAATGCATTAAAAATTATCTTTAACGTCCTTCCATAAAAAGAAATTTTCGCTAAATTGATTATCATAAGGTCAAATCACAAGACATGTTGTCGTCGTCGTCCTTAGATATTTCACTCTTTTAAGAAAACGATTATATTTAAATCGTCTAAATTAATAACGTTATATTTTTAAAAAAATTACAGTATTATTCTTGACATTTTATAACTGTTTCAAAATTACAGTGAACGTATCAAATTTGTTAGAATTGGACAAAAAGTTAATATAACTTAACGTCGTTCTTTCATTCACCATCATGTCAACTTTCCATCTAACATTGTAACAAAATTCTATCAAATATTTTAAATACGAGTATTTTTAATGATTTTTTTTTAATATAAATGCTTTTAAAGAAATGTTAGCACCCATGTGATTACATTTATGGAGTACGGTTGCACCTCATTTTTTTCACTCATTTAAGGAAAATTCATTAGGAGGTTTTATTGGAGCGACACTATGTCATTGGACAAACAACTTTATCTATGTCACACTAGATGAATTATTCAATATATATATTTCTCTCTATTTCAATACATATATGTAAATGAGAATAAAATATGTTGAAAAAATCCGTGTCGATGTTGAGACAAACTTTACTTTTAGAAGCAATTCAAAACAAGTATATAATGTAGTCATGTTATAAAGAAAGGTCGAGCAATCATGTAGATGATCCATTTTCTAAAATTTATGCATAAAGCATTACATATGATATTAGAACGAAACCTTGCCTAATATGACGTGATTTAAGAGCGAACCACACGAAAGTTGATGGGCATTTGATATCCTAGTAAATGAAAAGATAAGAATGTCATTTGAATGTAAGTGATTGTATCAAAAATTTAATCGAATTGATTCTTCCTATCTACATCAACAAAGTGCATATTGTTTTTGTGTGACTCAATTATAGAAACTTCAAAATTGGATGTATTTTGCTTAGAACAATTATGTATCGAGTGAGGACGAGATTAAAGACAAACCTGCTAAAAAGACTGGTAGAGTAGGTAAAATTATGCAATGAGATGTCATTATGGTGATTGCATCTTAATGAATGACGGCACAAAATAAATTTGAAAATCTTTAGACTCCTACCAAATCCAATCTCATATCTAATTTTGAAAAAGCCGATAGACTTTCCCACACTTAACAAAAGCATAAGAACAGTGTTCAATAAACAAAATACCAAATATGGTACAACAGAAAGATTGTACGATGACCCGGATCCCATACTACAAAAGATTATATCAACAGGGTTAATCCACCATTTCAATTTATAATAAAGATCACTATTTCATGTTTGTGGCAGTAAAGTTGGAATTTGCGACTTACCAGAACCTGAGAGAGCTTCAAATTTTCAAATTTGAGACGAACCCGTCGAACCGAGGATGCCTTTCTGGTAAATCTGTGCTAGCTAAACACTAAAATGAGTTGCAAGAATCCTTGATAATGTTGGGGCTTTCACGAATCCCGAGCATCGGACTGGATATTTAAGATTTGAGAGACTACAAGCTTGGAGAGTTCACTTATTGCTGCTTGAACCTCATAATCACCAGCTTCCCTGTGCCCTGCCCAACCTGATGATGAATTAGATCTCAATCCAGTGTATTCGCTTGCAGCAACCCTTGTCTTTGTCGATGTAGCAAGAACCTTTTCCAAATCCAACTGCGACAGTGGCCTTGGCTCCTATAGACCGATGTGTAATAAGAATGTCAGCAACATTCAAGGTCTAGTTGTATATAGCTAATGAATGAATGCCGACTCAATGCTAATATAAAGACTCCGAAACTTTGTTGTTTTGCCGAGTCATAATATAAACCCTCTACGTTCTTGACCCATGTAAATGAAAAAATAAATTATAATAATAACGTTTTTTTGATAAAAAAGCTTCATTTTTTAGAATCAAATGGTGGTAGTCCCCGAGGAGTAATTTTGTAACAGCCCAAGCCCAAGCCCAAGCCCACCACTAATAGATATTGTCCTCTTTGAACTTTCCCCTTCCCTTTCGAGCTTCTCCTCAAGGTTTCTAAAACGTGCTGCTAGGGAGAGGTTTCTACACCCTTATAAAGAATATTTCGTTCTCTCCAACCGATGTGCTACCTCACAATCCACCCCCCTTCAAGGCCCAGCGTCCTCGCTGACACTCGTTCATTTCTCCAATAGATGTGGGGCCCCCCCAATTCACCCCTCTTCGGAGCCCAATATCTTTGTTGGCACACTGCCTTGTGTCCACTCCCCTTCAAGGCTCAGTCTCCTCGTTGGCACATCGCTTGGAGTCTGGCTCTGATACCATTTGTAATGGCCCAAGCCCAACTGCTGGCAGATATTGTCCTCATTGGGCTTTCCTTTTTGGGCTTCCCCTCAAGATTTTTAAAACGCCTCTGCTAGAGAGAGATTTTCACACCCTTATAAAGAATGTTTTGTTCTCCTCCCCAACCAACGTGGATCTCACAATTATCATAATTCCCTTTCCCGTTTGCTGTCCATTCTCTCTACTGATCAATAATAGCCAGCAGATGAACAAACAAGTCAAAATAGATCATTCCTATCTCGTATGCCCTTGAAAGATGATAAACACAAACGAGATCGGTATTTAAACTTCATTGTCACAGCTAGTGAGCATAGTAGCACAGACATAAATCCCATCTTTTATTCTTTAATAAGAGAGAGAAATCTTATCTTAGAAGCAGCCTAAGTGATGCATGCAAATAATTGTTTATCAACTGAAATATCTCCTCCAGCAGGAAGAAACAAGTAACTAAACAGATGGAAGCCGAAGAGAAAGTGATAAATGTACTCACAGAAGATTGTTTCCCCTTCTTCTCTTCGTCAAGAAGATCCCGGATCGGAAAATAAGCAGCTTTCTTGCATAGTTCCAGAATATCCGAACCTGTGTACCCCTCACACAAGCTTGCCACACGGTCATAGTCTATGTTGTTTTCAACCCGCTCTCCCTTCAAAATCACCTTTAATATCTCTGCTCTCTCCCTCCGATCAGGTATTCCGATCTCAAAGGCTTGTGGAAGACGCCGAAGTATAGCTTCATCCAGTTCGGATGGGCGATTGGTAGCAGCAAGGACCATCACACGAGCATTCTCTATAAGAATGGATATGACAAATTAGAACCAAAGAGCAATTATTATAAGTAAATAGTTACACAATCACACCACCATATAAAATACAACTCAATCCTTCCGCTTAAAAAAAGTAGTACAAAATAGATTAAACTATGACTCACGATCAGTGGTAAATCCATCCCATAAGGCCATGAACTCAGTCTTCATGTTCGTCATTGCTTCGTGATCTGTAGTTCGTCGCTGACCCAAAAAACTATCGACCTCGTCAATGAAGATAATAGCAGGCTGGAGCTTATAAGCCAAGCTAAACACAGCAGCCACTGGAATGTCATGTCAGGCAACAACCAATCAAGCATAAATAGTCGATAAAGAATCCTTCAGGACTTAAAAATTCAATGTCATTCATACACAAGAAAAGAGCCAACAAATCCCTAGACTAACCTAGCTTTTGTGCATCTCCAAACCATTTGCTCATCAGATTTGAAATCCTGACATTGATGAAAACAGCTCCAGACTCCTTTGCAATAGCTTTTGCCAGCATTGTTTTCCCAGTACCAGGAGGTCCATACAATAAAACCCCTTTCTGCGGACCAAGAAGCTTCCCGTGTGAAAATAAATCGGGCCTCTTCAGTGGAAGTATCACCAATTCAATTAACGCTTGCTTGATAGTCTCCAGGCCTCCAATAGAGTTAAATTCCACATCGATGTGGTCAGGGTTTATAACATCACAAGCAATCACATCCTGGTTAAAATGTAAGTAAGCCACAAGTCAAAAAAGAACAAGAAAAACGTATCGATTCCTCAAGAATCCAAGGGGAAAACCTAATTGAATCAAACTCACGGTTAACCTAGATTAAAACCCCACACAACGAAATTAAAATGAAAAACCTCGTAAGGGTTTGTCTGGATGAGAGGGCGGCCCAATCGTTTGGCAATCTCCTTCTTGTGCTCGAGAGCCTTCTTGGAGGCCTCGCGGTTAGGGTCGAGGTGGCGGAGGCCAGCGAAAAGTACCAAGCAGCTCAAGGCGGCACTGGCTGCATAGAGAAGCAATTCCTGTACGAACCTCGTCTCGGAAGAACCGCTCCCCATAACCAACGGCGATTGGTGAAGCAAGAAGAAGGAGTTTCCCAATCACTGAGCAGCAAACTGGGATTGTGATTCCGATTACCGAACAAAAGGAAGAAGAAATTGATTCAGGTGCGCGTGGAGAAGAAGGTCTCTTCCGCTTACCCAAGGAGAACAAAGAATGGCTCTGGTAGAATCTCGACTTTAGAACAAGTCGGTTTACGTGTACAACAATATACGAATTCGGATAATAATATTAAGATAAAAAATATATTATACATACTAAAAAAATATATATATATATTTGTTTAGACATCCTTTTTATTAATATTCTTATTTATTTTGGTTATTAACCGTAATTTTTATTAATATTATCATTTATTTGGTTAGGTACGTGAATTAATATGCTACATCTATAGAGAAATTTTTGTCTCTTTGTTTAGTGTGTAAGTGCGATTGATCTTGCTTCCGCTTTTACTACAACAATTGGGTATCTCGTAGCATTTTTTGTTGATGCCTTATTCAAAAACACAAAATCGTTTTTTAAATTATTTTTCATGATTGAGACCTCAAACCCGACATCGATCTATTGAACGTTCTATTGATCTTTGTTATATGATATCTCCCAAGTGGTTTAAGTTAGTGTAGGAGGTCAAAGAATGAGAAGTTTTACTTGGAAATTTCTAGATTTTGGGGATCCCATTGTTTTGCAAAGAACTTGAATTGCCCTAACAGCCACTTGTTTTGAAGATTCAGGGCGATCTTTCAATTGGGAAATTCCTCATTAAATTACCAGTAAATTGCTTTTTGACTTCGTAATTAACTGCAAATCAAGGGCCATTTTGCCGGCCTCGCTTTTGTTCTTTCATCGTTACTATAAAAAGATTTGTTTTCTCCGTTGCCAAATCGGGAACTAATCTGTAATCAAGCTTCGCCACAAAAAGGATCAGATCAAGACGTTGCCTCTTCAACCCTTTTTCATCTGTGAGTGAATCTGTTCCTTGCGAATCCATTTCGATTTCGAAGGTTTTGATTACTTCTATTGGGGTTTTGGATGTGAAATTTGAAGTTCTTGGCCGCTCCTCTTCGATTGTTTGTTGATTGTTGCAGTGATAAATGGCTTCCGATCCGAAGGTTCATCTGTTCGAAGAAGTGGCAAAGCACAATAAAACGAAGGATTGTTGGCTTGTAATCTCTGGAAAGGTTGAATCTCTCTTGGTTTATTGTTCGTATCGTTTTATTTAGCATTGAATATCAGTTTTCTGGTGATGTTTTTGACGGAAAATTCTTGCGAACTCTGGTTTGTCATCGAATATCCTCTAAAAGAGTTTGATATAGGCGTGTTGGCTTTGGGGGTTTCAGTGTTTTACATGAATGTTCAAATTCAAATATCTTCTTCCTTGTTCTTCACTGAGCCGGATTCGTTTCTATGTCTTAATATCATTTTGTCATAGTAATATCAAATGGGAAGAAAGTGGTGGTGAGCTGCAGCGTATGAAGATTAAATAAAGCAGTGGCATTGTTTTCATATACACTAAAGAGTTTGTCCAACCAATTTTGAGCTTGAAAAACAACATTTATTGGTTGAAAATTGTCCTAAACTTCACTATTTACTATGAGGTTTCAGGCAATTGTTCCTTGTCCCCATAAGAAATCATAGCTTCGTTGAACTGGTTGTTATAAAATGCTTGGAAGGAGTATACCACCCAAGGGGTTGGGCATGGTAGTCTAGACTTGGGGTTAACCAGAGTGGTGTGTTTAAAGCCTGCCTTTTTGGCTACCTTATGAAGATATTGAATTTGTCATATTCATGGTGAATATTGAAAGCTTTGGGGATCAAGCTAAATGTTTAAACTGTTGATAAACGAAGCATTTCTTTTAAGGGTGTGGAAACCTCTCCCTAACATACGTGTTTTAAAACCTTAAGGGGAAACTCAGAAGGGAAAGCCCATAGAGGACAATATCCGCTTGCGATGAGCTTGGGATGTTACAAATGGTATTAGAGTTAGGCTTTGGGTGGTGTGTTAGCGAGGATGTTGGGTCCCTAAGGGGGGTGGATTGTGAGATCTCACGTCGGTTGGAGAGGGGAATGAAGTATTCTTTATAAGGGTGTGGAAACCTCTCCCTAACATACGCGTTTTAAAACCTTGAGGGGATGCCCAAAAGGACAATATCTGCTAGTGGTGAGATTGGGCGGTTACATTCTCGTTTAAATATTTTCGATCATGCATTCAAATTGTGGTGGTTACATTTGTGGAATGTTTAAAATGGTTTGAGATCGTGTTCAAGTTAACATTTATTTAGTTCAATTGGTTAAAATATATGTCGTTGACCAACTAGTCTTAGTTAGAGGTTCATATATTTCCACTCCACTCCACATGTTGAACTCGAAAGGGAAAACAAAGATCACGTATTTGTGAGGTGTTACTAAGCTGGTTTGTTGTGTGTATCATTGATTGTGGCTTTGGGTTTAGGTTTATGATGTAACTCCTTTCATGGAGGACCACCCGGGCGGCGATGAAGTATTGTTGTCTGCAACGGGTAAGCCTCAGAGTACCCTTATATCGAATATATGTATCTGTTATTTTCAAGTCTCTTGCAAATGATGATTAGGATGGATACAATCAATGCTGTTCATTGGAACCGTTTGCAGGAAAAGATGCCTCGAACGATTTCGAGGATGTCGGGCATAGTGATTCAGCAAGAGAAATGATGGACAAATACTACATCGGAGAAATTGATCCTTCAACGGTTCCTTCGAAGAAGATTTACATTCCATCACAACAAACCCAGTACAATCAAGATAAGACGCCCGAGTTTGTGATCAAGATCTTACAGATACTGGTTCCCATATTTATTTTGGGTTTGGCATTTGCGGTTCGACACTACACCAAGAATGAATGAATGAACAAGTGATTATTCGTATCCGTGTCGTTATGTTTGGTAGAAAGGCTGTTTTAGCTTGTTTTTGCTTGTGTTTTCATTGTGGGGGTTAGTCGTAGACTAGAGATGTCTGCATCGGATGTTGTATTCTACTTAATAATAATTAAGCTAAGGACTACCTTTTTCTCCGTTCCATCTTGCTTTGCTTTGTTTTGCTTCTCTTTACTTGTAAACGTTCATCTTTGGAGTTATATTGGCAAGGAATGGAGAGGAGGAATGTCTGGTTTGTCAACAAAAACAAGTCTGTCGGGTTGGTCCAACCATTGCCTATTGAGACTTGAGACTCAAACTCGAAATCAAATATGCAGTACTTACAGACATAACTATTTAAATATACTTTTAATGTCGAATTGTGAGCATTGTGTCAAACTCTTCTTTGGTGTCAAGGTAATAGCTATGAATAGTCATCAACTCCCGAAAAAGAGTAGAAGAATAGGACCTATTATGGGACATACAATGCATTAGACATATAATCAATACACTTCAACTCGAGATGGCATTACCATGAATTCCAATCTGATGGCTTTGATATTATCATGGCTGTACTTGATCAATATCCCTTCAGTGTGTGTGTCCGTGTGGATTAAACCAAGTAAAAGATGTCATTGAAGCCGTCCAATCCAAATGATACATTTATGAATGATGAATTGAAGAGACAAATAGGTCAGAAGTTCATATAACTTATACCACAAAGCAAAGCAACATGTCCACAACAGAGGAATGGCGAGTCGATAAGAAGTTTCGATACGAAAACGGGTGTTTACAAGAATCATTTGATTCGGCTCTATTCTAAATATATGAATCATCCCACACAAAATTCACTGATTCATCATCTTCTCACCACCAAACCCACCTTATATAAATTTCAGACCCAAAAGCCAACATGGTTTCTTCATCATTTGAATGAATCCCTGCTGCTATGATGTCATCATACCTTTCGAGGTTTTATAGTATGCTGCACTGACCAAAACAGCAATTCTTCTAACTTATGAGCTTTTCATTGTAAGCTGCACTCATCCGAGACAGCATAACGAAATGGCCTAAGTTCCACACTTTCAGGAGCTCAACAGCCACCCACAAGTTAACAAAAACTAGAATGGAAAAGAAAATGGAAATAGACCCTTCACTTACTGGAAGGATGTCTCTATCTTGTCGTGTAAGGTTACCACCAAATTATGAGCACCGTCTAGAAGCTTCCACACGTCGAGGTGCCCAGCCATGCTATTACATTCCCTCAGAATTTCATCCATGCTATTATACTTCTCTATGATCAGTTTTCTTCTTTGCAGCACAGAAGCAGCGATGGCATAAAGCAATAAATCATCTGTTGGTGGAGCTCGTTGCCTTATCCTGCTCCATGCAGACTTCCCCATTCCAGCCCTTATGGCTGCTTGATCAGCCCATATCACTTCCCACAGACATAGTGTCTGTTCAAATGTTAATTCCCTTCTGAATAGCACCACGACCATCCGATAAACGAAAAAGCAATCCTCCGCTTGAAGTTTCTCCAGGTGCTTGTAAAGGTGCGGGTCCTTGCACTTAATAATCTTAGAGACTATACTTAATTGCCTTCTAATCCCAACCTCATCGAGCCTAAAGTTGTGACGAGCCTTGCGCATGAAACCAACAAAACACCAGAATGCTTCATGATCCTCTGGAATCACAGTAATAATAGGAGAGAGTAGGTCGCTCATGCCTTGACAATAACCAATTTCAGGGTCATAGAGAGCATATGCTTCAAGAATTGCTACTAGTCTTGCAGCATGGAAAATCATGCAAGGTTCTAGATGGTCGTAATCAACTAAACCAACAGCCTCAGCACACCGCCGAGCTCTGCCATCTGAAACCATTGCTTGAGATGACAAGTATGGTACCCATTCTGAGTTAGAACGAAGTGCATCAAGTCGAATAATCCGCTGCCATGTTGCAAAATCTTCACCACTATGGAGTTTTGATGATGAGATCTCGGCCCTAGATGGAGAAGAATTTTCCTTAGGCATCGAGTCGAGAAAAGGTTCTTCCATTCCATCCGTGGAGGGAAAAGCTTGACTAACATCCAAGTCATCTGAGGATTCTGAGTCAGAGGAGTCCGAATTCAGTACCAAAGAACCATCGGCTGTTATCCGTCTTGAACTCCCCTCCCCTTCCAACAAAGAGTTGAAGGGTTCATCCAAAAAGTCAACATTGGAGCACCTTTCTTCACTAGAAAGGGACTCTCTAGCACTAACCACATCTTCAGAACTAGGAGAATCTACGTCTCGCACAAGAAAGCCATCTTCCCCAAC